GATCATGTGAGTGTATTTTGAAAAGTTTATTCCCCCTACTTTCAGCTTCTTACTGCTTCTCATTTTCTGCATTCCTGGATATTAATCAAGGTGAAAACCTAATCACTGCTGTCTAGATGCATATTCATAAAGAGTGCTGTTATAGCCATAGTCCAGGACAGACCAGAGTAATACCAAGAAGGTTAACCCTTTATTGTCTTTCTACATTGATCATTGCCTTCTAGGTATGGCTAAATACAGTATGCTACTTCTTGTTTTATTGGAGCAAATGTAGAATAGTGCAAAATGTTTTATTGATGGAGATGAAAAAAAAGAGTCAACTCATTCCAGCGGTTAACACAATCCACCTTCATTAGGGCTTGAGGTGTAATTCAAAAGGGAATCTTTTGCAACCTTATTTAATGAGTGAATTTGGGATCACTATTGCTGTAATTACCCTGAGTCCATATTTGGTTCCCCAAAGGATTCTGAGTTACACCTCAAGCCCTGATGAAAGGGGATTGAGTTATCCCCCCAAAATGCGTTGGCTCTTTGATGCTCTTTTAATCTCTACAAGAAAACATTTTGGATTATTTTTGCTTCATTAGATTTCCCCAATGCCCCTTCTGCAGTTTGGGCTCCTTTCAGGTGGGAGCACAGCCACAAGTAAGCGATTAAGCTTCATGAAAGAAACTCATAGTAAAATGATTGGACATTTATGGTCAAAGATCCAAGCGCCTCCCCTCCTTTTATACTACTACTCTGATTTATTGGATCCAGCTTCTTCTGGACTCTTTGGGGAAAGCATGTACAAAGGTTCCCCAGGCTGCAGAAGCCTAAAGAATCCTAAACAGAGGCCTCAATTTGCAAATAGGGAACTTGTCCTTGATGATATCTCCGTGATCATTTTCACCTTACACAACCAAGCCCCAAATCTTTAGGTAGATTTTTAAAGATTTCCTAGATGTTTAAAAATTGCACAAAAACAAGTTCAGTATAGTAGTGAAGCATTGGTAGGCCTCATGGTTTGGCTGTGCTTATATATCATCTTCCCCTTCCATTACAAAGAAAAGACGTTCACTAGATGGTCAAAAGTTGGTGGACACCTGACAATCACACCTGCACAAGCTTGTTGGCTATCCCATTCTAAAACCATGGGCCTCCCTTTGCGGCTATAACAGCCTCCATTCTTCTAGGAAGACTTTCCACAAGATTTTGGAGTGTGTCTTAGGGAATTTGTGAGTTCCAGTACTGAATTTGGACGAGACCTGGCTCACAATCTGCATTTTATTTCATCTCAAATGTGTTCAGTAGGGTTGAGGTCAGGGCTTTCTGTAAGCCACTTAAAGGAGAACTATGAGGCGAGTGCTTTTCACTCACCTCATAGTTCTAGCCGACCTGTGACAATGAGACTGTCACAGGTCGGCTCAGTAGATCGGGAGGTGAGCGAACACATACCGGCGTTCGCTCACCTCTCGATCCTGTCACGGCTCTCTGCTGTGACAGGGGAGGGGCTGGATTCCCCTCTCCCCGCTCCGATCCGCCAGCGCTGACTGGCGGAACGGGAGGGGGCGGGTACAGCTGGCTCTGCCTCTAGATAGGCAGAGCCAGCTGTCACTCACGCAGCTGGGCGGATCTCGACATCGATGTCGGGATCCGCTCCGGCTGCGGCGTCTCCGTATACCGCGAGCTGTAGCTCGCGGTATACTGAGCTTAGGGTAACGGGAGAACGCTAGTTTGTGTCCTCCCGTTACCCTAAGGAGAACTATGGGGAAAAGCCCTGACCCCATAGTTCTCCTTTAAGTTCCTACACAACAAACTGGTCAAACCGTGTCTTTATGGAGATGGCTTTGTACACAGGGGCATGGTAGAACAGAAAACAACCTTCCCCAAACTGTTATAATAAGGTTGGAAGTGCACATTTCTCTGAAATGTCTTTGTGTGCTGTAGTACTAACAGTCCCCTTCACTGGAAACACTTGAACACAATAATTTGGAGAGGGGCCCATATACTTTTGGCCTTATAGGTAGGTGTGATGTTCAGGAGTCCACAAACCCTTAGCTATATAGTATAGTTGTTATTTGGCTGTGTTCAGTGATCTCAAGGTGGTTTAGAACAAAATACTGCTTTTTATTCCAGGGTTCCTCCTTAACCTCCCTTCCATTTTATATTGATCCATCATAGACTATAAACCCACCGCCACTTGTTTTATTGCTCCCCAAATTTCTCATAGCTCTTGTAGCAAAAATCGAACCCCCCTCCGTCTTAATTCAGTGATTTATTCCCTGTACGTAAGGTTGTTTCTGTGACATGCTATTAATCAGTCCATAATGCAAACCATGGACAACCCATTTGGGGAAAATTCTATTCTGCAACAGAAAATGATTTAAGTGTACACTGCGCAGAACCAAATGGCCTGCATCATACCTTAATCCGGCTAATAAAACTCGCCTGCTGGAAGACATACGTTCTGGCTGAGCTGACGCTGATGCTGTTATGGGATTGACATATGGACTGATACGTTGTACAGAGTGCCGCGGACTGGCCGAGCTCCAGTGCATTCATTAGATCCTCCAAGTTGTCTTCACGGGCTGGATTCCGGGTCAGACACAGGTGATGTTTAGATGATTGTAGTAAATGTAAAGGGGAAAGGAAAATTGGTGTAAGGTAGAGAGCATTATCAGTGGTGATGAAATGATCGCATAGCCAAGGGGATAAAACAAGTCTATTTTAATCCATTAAAGGAAAAATGAAGTCACATAAATAGATATGCAGTCAGACTTTGTACTAAAAACCGACCTCCACTTCAATTTTGCAGGGTGCCTTAAGATGACTGGGAAGAGTTATACCCATTGCACTCAGTAATCAGCACTGAGTAAGACAACCCAGTCGTTTCCTCTGCAATAGAAATCTGTGTGATAAGCATTGTGACTGTGATGAGGGGTGTTGCTGTTACTTGGGTCTGCCAGCATAGAGCACTGGAGCGTGAGGGCAGAAAGCAGCATTTTCACTTAGAGGAAAAGGTATTTTAAGGTCCATTTGAAGCTTAGATTTCTATTACTGTAATGCAGTCTGGCTGTACAAACAAAAAATAAATGTGGGTGTGATTTTGAAATTTAAACTGGACTTTATCGTCCATTTAGACGAAGAATTCTGAGACTTAGGGTTATGCCACTGGCCTCAGGAGAAATGGACACTAGGCAAGAATTCTGAGACATAGGGTTATACCACTGGCCTCAGGAGAAATGGACACTAGGCAAGAATTCTGAGACATAGGGTTATGTCATTGCCCTCAGGAGAAATGGACACTAGGCAAGAATTCTGAGACATAGGGTTATGTCACTGCCCTCAAGAGAAATGGACACCAGGCAAGAATTCTGTGACATAGGGTTATGCCACTGCCCTCAGGAGAAATGGACACCAGGCAAGAATTCTGAGACGTAGGGTTATGTCACTGCCCTCAAGAGAAATGGACACTAGGCAAGAATTCTGAGACATAGGGTTATGCCACTGCCCTCAGGAGAAATGGACACCAGGCAAGAATTCTGAGACGTAGGGTTATGTCACAGCTTTCTGGAGAAATGTACACCAGGTAAGAATTCTGAGACGTAGGGTTATGTCACAGCCTTCTGGAGAAATGTACACCAGGCAAGAATTCTAAGACATAGGGTTATGCCACAGCCCTCAGGAGAAATGTACACCAGGCAAGAATTCTGAGACGTAGGGTTATGCCACAGCCTTCTGGAGAAATGGACACGAGGCAAGAATTCTGAGACGTAGGGTTATGTCACTGCCCTCAGGAGAAATGGACACCAGGCAAGAATTCTGAGACGTAGGGTTATGCCACAGCCTTCTAGGAGAAATGAACACTAGGCAAAAAATAATTTTGTTCTCACTGTAAAATCCTTTTCTCTGAGTCCCTCATTTCTTTTCATACTTAAGTTCTCCATAGAATATAGAAATCCATCAGGGATGGTAGGGACCCGTCATAATGGGCACAACAGGTATACAGATCCAGAAACTCAGCACAGGGATGGTGGCAACCCCTCATAATGGGCACAAAAGGTGTAAAGACCCGGTATCTCAACACAGGAATTGTGGGACCCCCTCATAATGGACACAACAAATGTGCAGACCCAGGATCTCACACCGATAGTGGGAACTCTTCATCATGGGCACAGCAGGTATGAAGAGTCAGAAACTCAGTGCAAGGTTGGTAGGAAACCCTTATAAAGAGCACAGCAGGTGTGCAGAGATGGGAACTCGTCTTATGGATGGTGGGAGCTCCTCATAAAGGGCACAGCAGGTGTGCAGAGCCAGGTGTTTAGCGCAGGGATGGTAGGTGCCCCTTCTTATAGGCACAAAAGGTGTGCAGACCCGGTATCTCAGCACAGGGATGGTGAGACCTCCTCATAATGGGTACAGCAGGTGTGCAGGTTTGGGAACTCAGCCCAGGGATGGTGGGAAACACTCATAAGGGGGACAGTAGGCGTACAGACCCGGGAACTCAGAAATAGTGGAAGGAGATGCTGAGTGCAGAGATCTCACCTACAACGTCCCCCACAGATAGAAGAAACAGATAATTTAACCATCCAGCATCCAGCAAAAACTCAAATATCAGTATTGTGTGTAATGACACTTTACTTCAATTCCAGCTCATGCACATTATTCATCTGTCAATCTGTGAAGTGTATTTAGCTAAAGAGGATAAAGCTCTGCTCTTCTGAGCAAAACACGCTGGCATTATGTCACAGCAATCCATAACCACGTCTTCCATCTTCCCTCCATCCCAGCTAATCCCTGTGCTCCTTTCTCAGCACCTCCACCCGGCCTCCTGTCCGAGACGTTGCCAAAACGAACAGATTTATCGGGAGGCTTAATGACAGCGAGCAGCACATGTAGAGCGCTCTCTTCACCTCCGCAGAGAAGACCTGAGCCAAGACATCTTCCTTGTCTGTTATCTGTATATAGAGGAACAATGCAGCCAGAATCCTTATCAGCTAACAGCTATTTATAGAAGGATGATATGCGGAGGGAAAGGACCGTGCTCCAGACTCCTGTTCTGTGGTATTTTAATAAATATGGACAGCAGTACCATTCTGCCACTATTGCGCTGTACACAGCAGCACTATCCATGGCCAAAATACAAAAAAATATATGTATTTTGATACCGAATTTCCATAAGTTCTATTGCACTCCCAATAACCAGATCCATCTAGAAATGGGTAAACTTACTTTTTGAAGATGTCCATAGGATGTACTTCCTCAATGCACTGACACCATTTCACTCAGCCCTTTGAACGTGGGCTTCCTTGTGTCACCACTCTTACAAAGTCTGCCATCTAACTACAATTCAACATCTTAAATTCCCACAATGTAACATCGTCATTGCTTGCTGGAAGGAATGCATGATGGGTTGTCAAACCTTGTCTTAAAGTATCACCCTAACTGTCCCCTCCGCTCTTCCAAAGACCTCCTGCTTTCCAGCTCCCTCGTCAACTCCTCCCATGCTCGCCTCCAGGACTTCTCTAGATTCACTCACAAGCCTATCCCACCTCAGCCTAACCACTCAACCATCACGTTCTCAAACAATTCATTCCCACACAGCTACCTCCTCATGTATCACTTGCCCCTCCCTTTTAGATTGTAAGCCCTCAGGGGCAGGGCCCTCCTTACCATCTTGTCTTGAATTGTATTGCAATTGTAAAGTCTTCCTTATATTGTAAAGCGATGCGCAAACTGTTGGCGCTATATAAATCCTGTATAATAATAATATCTAGTCTTGACGACTTAAGATTGCCTAACATCAAGCAGCAGGGAAACCTAAACCTAATCCCTTAACATGAGCCCATCATCTAACCTTGATATAAACCTAACCTTAACCTTATAACGAAACACAACTCTTAACCTAATCCTTAACATGAGCCCATCTTCTGTACATATCCCAAACCTAGCCTCTAATCTTTGCCTAACACCTAAACCGAACCCATAACCCAGACATGAACTATTGAAATGAACCTGTACTCATACTATGTGCACTAAAGTATTTACATATTCACAAGCACTAAAAAAAAAATCACCTCTGTAGCTAAAGGCATCGTGGAGAATTTTTTTTATAGTTCAGAACCGAAGCATTGAAATCCCAGTTCATCTTCCCGTATCCTCTACCAAGAGCAGGACATTGGCAGCCTACCAGCTCTCTAAATGCACAGCAGGAGCTGGAGACTGTTGGAGACCCAACGAAACCGACTTCAGAGTCTCTGTTGTGATATTTGAGGATCTTTGAGAATGAACTTCTTCACAGTACAAGCAGCTAGAGAGGTCAGGGATGACTTGTTTTAAAGCTCTTTTACTGTTTAAAGCTGAACTCCAGGATAAGCAAATATTGTCTAAATACGGTACAATCATCATGTGTATTCTTCCTTGAATCTTGGTGCGCTTTGTGTATTCCTTCCAGATCTGGGTTCCGGCGTGAGACTTGCAGCTTCCTGTAATAAAGACCGGTCACTGCTGCTCTCTCTCCTTGTACAGGGTGACTGGTCTTGTGTCCATCCACTCCTGTAGCTTTTGCAGACAGTCTATGGTGGGTTGGGCCTTCTGGGTCCCTTCAATATATTAAATTCAATTAACATTAAGGTAATGAATGATATTTTTAAATCTGCAGTTTCCAGTAATATCATTTCTGGTGATCCTACCATGAAGGTCCTTGTATAACAGGAGGCACGTCCTGTTATAGTGTGACAACGATCTGCCCCATCTCCTAATTGCGCTCCTGTGTTGTCATCCTGTCACACAGGAGATTACAAGAGGCTGTTATAACACACATTGGCCCTCTGTTGTCACCATCAGGAAACCCGCCCTAAGAATTGCCATTGCTGGAGTGCATGTAGACAGGAAGAGGCTGAAATGAGGTTGCAGGAGTTCAGCAGCACTGAGATGGAATAAAGCTTGAAAACAAGGATTTTATTATGAAAAAAGAATCTTGTATTAATGATACACAGATACAGGGCAAACAAATGCCATTTATTTAGAGTTTACATCTACTTTAAGTTGTTTCAGGATTATTTTTTCAGATTATGGTTTCCCGTTTGTGTTTCCTGCAGATCACCTGAAGGGAGAAGTGGAGAAGAGAAGGATGCAGAGAGCAGCACTAGGTGAGTATGAGAACAAACCATGCCACATTATCTACAGGGGAGCCTGTGCTGTCATCACCTTCAGGAGAGCTAGTCATTCACTAACAGGGTTATTCACAAGGCAGCCGAGTGAATAACCCACCCGAAGTGAAGTGAACCCTATTCGGCTATTCACTTCAGGCTTGTACGGCTGATTTCAGCCGAACATTGGCTAGCTTCGGCCGCACTTCGTGACATCACAGCCGACTCCTCCCAGTTGTCATTGTTTAATGACAGTTCAGCGTTCCTTCGGCCCGGCTGAGCCGTTCGGCCGCCTTCGGGAACTGTATGGGCTACAGTGAATATTCCATACAGAAGCCCTTCTGTTCGACTGAACCGAAGGGCTCCGGCGGCCGAAGCTATCCGAAGGATCAGCTGGAGCTACGGCTGATCCTTCGGCCAGCTTTGTGCAATAGTCTGTTGTAGTCTTAGTTTATTTTCAATTTTTTCACTCATAGTTGTTCTGCTAATGGCAAATTGGCAAGCCCCAATGAATGCACTTCAGACCTCAGATCAGCCCCAGTGCATACATATCAGGCCTCAGATCAGCCCCAGTTCATACATTTTAGACCTTAGATCATCCCCAATGCATGCACTTCAGACCTCAAATTATACCCAATGTAGGCACTTCAGATCTCAGGTCAGCCGCATTGCATGTACTTGATACCTTAAATTAGCCCCAGTACATGCAATTCAGAACTCAGATTAGCCCCAATGCATGCATTTCAATCCTAAGTTCAGTCCCATTGCATACATTTCAGACATTAGTTCAGTCCCCAATGCATGCACTATAGACCTCAGATCAGCCCCACTGCATACACGTTAGACCTCAGATCAGCTCCAAGGCATGCACTTCAAACCTCAGATTATCTACGATGCAGACACTTTAGATCTTAGGTCAGCCCTATTGCATGCACTTCATACTTAAGATCAGTTCTAGTGCATACATTTCAGACATTAGGCTAGTCCCCAGTGCATGCACTTCCAACCTCACATCAGCGCCAATGAGTGCACTTCACACCTCAGATTAGTCCCAATGCATGTACGCCAGACCTTGGATCACCGACAGTGCTTTACTTTCAAACCTCAGTCTGGCCACAGTGCATGCACTTCAGACCTCAGATCAGCCCTGGTGCATGCACTGCCAACCGCAGATCAGCCCCAATGCAGGCATTGCCAGCCTCAGATCAGCACCAATGCGTGTACTTCAGACCTCAGATCAGCCCCAATGCATACATTTCAGCCCCAAACCCTATACCTTTAGGCTGGGTTCACACCTGGGCGTTTTTCAGCACTGATCAAAGCGCTGAAAAACGCTCAGCAAGTGAAATCCCATTATTTCCTATGGGCATGGTTCCCATCTGGGCGTATTTCAGCGCGTCGAAACGCGCTGACAAACGCCCTACGCCCAGGCATATTCCTGCGCGTATCCATTAGGATACAGCCAGATAGCTCTCGTGAAACGCGCATTAGATTTCTCAAATCGCGGTAAAAACACGCGGCCCGAAACGCGCATCATACGCGCATATTACGAACGCCCAGGTGGGAACCCAGCCTTAGAGATGCAGAATACCACTGTAGACGTGAAGACGGGTATGTTCTGCACAGCAAGCTGATGTCCTCAGCTGACGACGGGCTTTTAGTGATGTCAGGAAGGTAGTTGGACCAGACTTTATAATTAACAGCCTAGTGAGCTATGAGTTATAGCCAATGGCAATGGGTGCCAGCGCAACCAGCACTGAGAATGTACGCGTGCTGAGGGATGCCACCACTGCCTCGTCTAACCCATCCCTACTCTATCCAAAACAAAATAGTTTGGGCTTTAGATACACTTGAAGTGATAGAATAGTTAGAATTTTGTTCTGTATGACAGGTTCCCTTTAAGTGCGCAGAGAGTTCAGGTGCCGATGAAATAGCACTAGACAGGTGTGAGTATATGCGATGTGTCGCTTGATTAGAAACGGCCCAAGAGCTTTGTTGTCTCTCTTTATTCTCCAAGTGGAGTACGCTCCCTGGAATCACTGTAACATTACTGTATTTACTACAAGCGAGAGAGAGAGAGGCCAAGGTTGGATGCACATCCTTGCCAAAGTATTTTATCATTTTCCAAACATCCTCTAGGTGTTTCCAGCTCCTCAGATGAACTGAACGAGTATGACCCGACAGAGGATGAACTGCGAGGTCAGATGGAAGATGAAAAAAAGAGGTACAATTACTTTGCATGGCTGCAATAAAACGCTTTTCATTTGCACGTTCCCCCTTGCTGTTATAGAGATTAGTTTATGTGGGCTGGGGTGATCTAAATGCTCAGATTTAATAGGATTTTGTCTTGCCAGTGATGACCGGAATCAGTGGAAGTACGCAGCACCACTTGCAAAAACAATAAGCAATGCAGAAAGGTTTTTTAAATGTCCCATTGGGGGGATTTTCCTTCAGTTCCTGTTTCAAACTCAAAAGGAAATGAGATATCCCCTCTTCCCTGAGATATCCCCTCTTAGACAGTTGTCACCAGAACAGGCATCTCCATTGCAAGATTTCCCCTCACCTCCTGTCAAGTGTACACATTTGGAAAGCCGATCACACTCTTAAATAGTTTAATGATGAACCCAGTGGTGTATTTTGGTTTTGTGCTGCCCTAGGCAAGACTAAGCTTGGGCACCCCCCTCAATCTAAATTTGCCCCACCCCATCCTGTTTAGGACATGTGGGGTGTGCAGTTTATGGTGGGCTGTGCAGAGTCCCTTTCATGCAGTTAATACTTAAGATCAGTTCTAGTGCATACATTTCAGACATTAGCCTAGTCCCCAGTGCATGCACTTCCAACCTGTGCTGCATCTGCTGCTCCTCTTACCTGCTGCTCGAAGTGTCATCTGTACCAACAGGATATATTGCAGTCCCCGGCCTGCTTCTGGGACATCCCGCCATCAGATCACATGCTATGGCCAGCCCCGAACCACCCGCTGTTTCTCCTCCACCTCCTGTACAAAGCCAGCCGGACCACATCTCACTGGGCCCTCCCCTCCACCAGGCAGCTCTCTAATTAGGCAGCCGCTCTTAGAACTTTGTGGCCGCCTAGTTTGCCTGATTCTGTGCCGCCAAGCCTCGGCCCACTGGGCAAGTGTCCAGTATGCCCAAAGGTAAGTCCAGCCCTGTCCGCCTCATTGGTTTGGGGCGGCGTTTTCTGCCGCCCCCCCGGAAAGTGCCTAGTCTGCCTTGCGGTAGATACACCCCTGGATGAACCCCAGTAAAAAATACCCTTGCAGTGCTCCTCTCCCTCTGCACTGCAAGGGTAAAATGCTCATTAATTCTAGGGGTTGAGGAATAAGCTGTAATTCCATTGTAATATTCCTTGTTCCAGCAGACTTCTGGTGCTCAAGGTGTCAGGAAAGGACAGTCAGGCTGGGGCAGTCCAGATAATGGTGGACATCCTGCAGCCAGGACATAGATTGGGCTCGGGAGAGGAGCCGGTACAACTGTGCAAGACTGGAGGGAAGGCTCCATCATTATCCTGTTCAACTTTAATGTGTATTACAGTGTAAATGAAGACCTAATAAAGGAATTCATAAATTGAATACAATCATTACAGATATTAAACACCATACAGTTACCAGAATACATTATTTTTCCCTATAGTGGCCCCTAAGGTCATGAATCCTAGATATGTTCCTTGATTGTGGCATGACAGAGTCACTGTGTCTTCTTCTTCTGCAGGTACAAAACTCTCTTCAATCGCCTGAAGAGCCTAAAGACGGAAATTGAACACTTGCAGCTTCTCCTAGAAAAGGCGAAAGTCAAACTTCTGAAAGACTTTGAGGACTGGTGGTCCGAGGAGGCCTCAGACTTACAGGTGGAGATATGTTCTGGTTGTATCTCTGCTGCATGGCCTGGTCCTTTCTTAGCGCAGTCACTGCCCTGTGAAGAACAAGGGTTCAGTGTGCAATGTGACCTTGTATCTATGTGGGCGAGTGTAATAAGGTGGATCCATAAAGGATTAACAGTAACCTATTTTCTTCTTCCTGCAGAACCAGACGGAACTAAAATCGAGGAGCACCGCGCCATCTACCCGGTCTCTTTCTTCCAGGTACGAAATAGGTTCTCAGTAAATATACATCATGATATTACAACCCCAGGTAGTCTTACAGATCATTCACCAGTCATGAGTTTATACCTACTGGCATCTGTTCCTTCTTGCAGTATCCAGATACAAAAAACCTGCACTTTCACTATTTTTTCTTGATGTCTAACAAGCGTGCAAACGCAGGACCCTCTCCTTCAACATGTTTCTCCTCAATGGGGGCTTAGTCTTTAAGTTAAAAACCTCTCTCTACACTAGGGGCTCAGTCATGAAGGTCATGACCTTTCTCCCTAATAGGGGCTTAGTTCTGAAGGTCATGACCTTTCTCCCCAACAGGGGCTTAGTTCTGAAGGTCATGACCTTTCTCCCCAATAGGGGCTTAGTTATGAAGGCCATGACCTTTCTCTACACTAGGGGTTTAGTCATGAAGGTCATGGCCTTTCTGCCCAATAAGTGCTTAGTCATGGAGGTTCTGACCTTTCTCTACACTTGGGGCATTATGGTCATGGCCCTTCTCCCCAATAGGAGCTTATTTATGAAGGTGATGATCTTTCTCTACACTGGGGGTTTAGTCATGCAGGTCACGACCTTTCTGCCCAATAGGGGCTTAGTCTTTGAGGTCATGACCTTTCTCCCCACTAGGACTCTCATTGAGCTGGCCTACCAGTCGGCTCTATGCTGATTGGCTGAAAAGCCGGTTTCCCGGCCAATCAGCATCAAACTGGCCAAACATGAAGCCGGCTTCCCAGAAAATCATGAAGCCAGGCAGTGTGTCATTACCCGATGCTCAGCTTTCTGATTGCCTGGGAAGCCGGCTCCATGCCAGCGGAAGCACCGGTATCGGTACTCGGTATCGGCAAGTACCGACAGCAAAATATCGGTACTTGATACCGAAAAAACAGTATTCACATTACTCAACAACTGCCAGTCTTCGTTTACCTGGCCCAGTGTCTTTGACTTTGCATGTTAGAGAAGACCAACATCTTCTTTTGACGTATCGCATGTCAAATAAACTTTCATGTCGCAGTGCATATAGTTTATTTGTTGCGCAGTTGAATGTGTAACTGTCTTGCGCAATCATCCTCTTAGAACACTACTGCACAGCACTGTCTGCGCCAAATATTGACAAACTCATTTTCGGAATCATTATTAATTTGGCGCAGACAGTGAGAATTTTTGTCTATAAAGCCGCAATAGTTCATTTCAGACCCTCCAAAATTAACTACTATTTGGTGCATCCAATAAAGCAGGTTTCTGTGGAGCACCAACAATAGTTTATCTTGCGCGTTGAAGTGAGCCAGTTAATACAAATTGAGCAACTGATAACCTGCATCCTGTGCACTCCGTTATTATTCCTCCTCCACCTCTATAATTGGGGATGGAATGTTGGTCTGGAGGTCAGAGTTTTTATGCTGTGCATGGAATTATTAGGGACTTTTCTATTCCCAGCAATAGTTGAGGTGTGCCATACAGAAGCAGAATCTGCCAGTATATTTTATTGAAACAAAGCAGTGGACTAACTGCCATCCGGAAAGACTGAAGTTCCCCGCGGCCTGGTCTGTATATCATCAGTAGTTTATGGAATATTTTCCAAGTCTTAAATCTCCTCATACAGACATGACTCCTCAAGCCAAGCACAGACCTAACTCCTCAAGCCAAGCATTGAAGTAGAGAGAGTTTAATCTTCCTGATAATATAATCAACTATGATAATCCGTCACCATTTCTGAGATATGGATTTTTTTGCTCTTTCCCTCTATAGGGGTGTACTTATTATAAAAATTCCCTAGCTTTTTCATCCAGCAAAACTGCATGCACAGTTACACCGATCAGCCATAACATTATGACCACCCGCCTAATAATAAGTAGGTCCCCCATTGCCACCAAAACAGCCCTGACCCATCCAGGCATGGACTCTACTAGACCTCTGAAGGTATGCTGTGGGACCTGGCACCTGCCGTCAGTAGCAGATCCATTAAGTCCTATAAATGTTGAGGTGGGGCCTCCATGGATCAGACTTGTTTTTCCAGCAAATTTCACAGATCATCGATTGGAATGAGATCTGGAGAATTTGGAGGCCAAGTCAACACCTCGAAATCATAGTGTGATAGTGCATCATGGTGCCATCTCTTCCCCAGGTAAGTGACACACCCGCACCCGTCCACTCACATGATGTAAAAGAAAACTTGATTCATCAGACCAGGCCACCTTCTTCCATTGCTCCGTGGTCCATTTCTGATGCTCATGTTCCCATTCTAGGCACTTTTGATGGTGGACGCGGGTCAGCATGGGCACCCTGACTGGTCTGTGGCTACCCGGCAATTGTTCATCAATTGGTAAATGGGGAGAATACAGCATTATGGATAGATGGAGCTGAGGATCACAGGAAATAAATACATGTTAGCAATGAGATTTAGTGTTACAATATAAAATAATGCTGGAGGGAATGAGCATATACATGTAACCATTGCTATCCCCATAGTGTCAATGGTTACTTTTATGTGCTCATTCTCTCCAGCGGTCTCTTGAATTGTAACATTGAATCTGGTTACTAAGCTGCATTTATCTCCTATGATCCTCAGTTCCATCTATTGGCCATATTGCAATATTTTCCCCATTCACTCTGTACTTTATGAATATACCTACTGAGGAACATTCACCCAGAAGAGAAATTACACTAAGAACATTTGTTTTTGCCCCTTTCTGACAACAGCTGGTTAACGTGCACAGAATAAAAGTACATGCAGTTTCGATGGGTGAATAAGCTATGATAATTTTTTATAAATAGATCCCCAAGTGTTTTCATGTTTCTCAGGCGCCGTCTTCTGCACTCGCCTCCCTCCACAATAGACATAAAGCTGGAGCCCTGGATTACAGGTCTCTTCACCATCAGTGGCAGAGAGCGGAGCAGCTGTGGCCGTTTGTACTCATGCCAGGAAAGGAGATATGGATGGGAACAGCTGTTTCTTCTTCTGCCTGGAAAAGCTTCATCATTGTCCCACCACCAGATTGCTGTAACTGTGTGCCGGGGTATTGTTATGCTCATGTACACTTGCTGGCAGTCATGTTGTCCCATGGGTGTATCAGATCAGCCCAAACATTTAGGAATTTACAGCAGTGATACAATAACCTATAGCAATCAGTGGCAGGATCAGGTCCTTTACTACCCAAGGCAAAAAGATCAAAGTGCGCCTCTTCTACCTACCCCTCGGACTAACCATTGGCAGAATTATAATACATCAAACATGTATGGGGTATGGCACCCACACAATGTAATAATGGCTCACAATGCCAATGATGGAGTGGCTTCATTGACCTGAAACAAGTATTTAGATTAGGGGTTCACTCTGCAAATGAGGCCAAGGACAGCCAGACTTTGTAGCATTTGCAGGAGGAGGCCAGCAATGGCAACGCATATACACTATGTGCGAGCATAATGACGTCAGGCACACTTAACTGCCGGCAGCCATCTTGGTGATATATGTCGGCAAAGAGGATGTTAGGTCCATGCGGCGGGATAAGGTATGCTACCGGGTCCCCTCCTCTCTCGTGCAGCTGTCAGGCTCTCGGTCCATGACTGAGTGTCTGACTTTTCAGAGGTGGTGACACCAAAATGACTGCCAGTCATTTTGGTGTCACCGCCTCTGATAGCGTCACCCAGTGTGACCAGCACCCCCCTTGTGACGCCACTTGTGGCAGTGGAAGTTCAACTTATATGCAGTGGCAGACTGTTTCCTGTCTCCTGAGTTTTTGCCTACAGCATCCTGATGGGCTTTTGTGCAGAAGCCATTTTTCTGCTCCATGTTTCATAGATCAGCCCAGTTATTGTGGATAAAGTCCTCCTCCGCACACAGAGCCATGTAGACACGCGGGAGCCGCTCTCGTCACTGCGTGCCAGGACAGAAACATCTTTATTTCCTCCGTCCCACGCGGCAGAGCCCACTCGCCGAGCAGAGCATCGGTCTGCTTCTTCCATTACAGCGTAACATGTCTGTTCACACCAGGCCGGGGATCTGAGAGGCGAGAGCCAGCCGCGGCTTCGCTCTAAAGACTCCTCAGCGGTCAATTCACATAGCAGATGTGGAAGGGGAAGCCGCATCGCTCTGAACCCGGTGGCTCCGTCTCTGGGAATTTCCCTGCGTGCTCACTGCCGTGGTGTTAATTAGATGACATTTCAGAGCGTTCTTACTCTTTATCCCAATAATCCATCACATTCCCAGCCTGCCATTGTTACCCAGAGTGTAGAAACATGGAAAGCCGACTACTGACAGAGCAAGTGTTCATTAATAGAAGTTTAATCTGCCTTTCCTGGTTTCTCCTCCTCCCCTCGTCAGCATGCCAATGACATTTTTTAATAAAACCTTTCTGTTTTTATCACATTCCTTATTTTTTTATACCATTGCATAGAGAAGCACAGCGACCCAGTGCTGACATCTTCATCATTGGGTCTCTGCACTGCTCTATGCAATGCAGGCAGATCATGGCTGGTGGGAGGGGCCGGCAGGGTGCTGTGATGTTTTCAGGAATCGATGTACAGCACCCTGCCGGCCCTTCCTACCAGTCATGGTCTGCCTGCATTGCCTAGAGCAGTATTGAGACTCAGTACTCCTCTTAAGAGACCTCAGCCCTGATGCATGCAGTGGAATGGCTTTTGGGAGGAGTTATGCAAATATCAAAATGCCTTCATGGTTGGATGTCAGTCTGGAGGAGAGAGCACTTCTAGGCAGGCTGAATTGCCTAAAAGCTGTCAAAAGTAACTCTCACATGTGATGCCGATCCTCTGTAATAGAAAGAGCTCAAATCTAATGAATGAAAGAGGCGGGGCCAGGGACAATGAGGCTGGGGAGGAAATTGTTTAAAAGCCCGTGGAGCATGCTTACGATACACCCAAAAAGTCAACCACAAAAGTGCATGTGAACACACACACAAAAGTGCACAAAAGGGGTGCTGTCTAAAGGGTCCATCTCCCAAAGAGACAGGGCCCATCCCTGAACCCCCGGGGCACAAGGCTCCTGACAGGGTCAAGGCACTCGTTTCCACCTGGCCGAAACCAGGCGGACCCATTCCTCGTGGTCAGCCGAAGCCGACCACCAGGTACTAGGTTGAGGGCTCCCCCGAAGGAAGACCCCCTGATTCAGGGGAGGAAGGAATCTGAGGGCCACACATCCTCCCCCTAGACTTTAGGGCAGGCCCGAAGACCCACACCCTCCGTCCTGTGGAGTGAAAAACACAAATAAAAGTGAAAGGTGCACAAACAGTGAGAAAAATGATTTAGAGTGCCAATGTGAATACACTGGCTAGGCCTTGCGGCCCGGTAATAACAAATTACCCCTGGTCTTAGCCGAAAGGCCTAGCTCAAGAGGTGTTGTGGAGCAAAAAGCAAATGTGTCGTGCCAAAGTGCCGTTCACACTTGTGGGGTCCCACACCCACTGTGCTACTAGGGCACCCCTGGGTCACCACTCCAGTAGGCGTTAACACCACAGGCTTAATGCTTTCCCAGCCCCTGGCCAGACAAGCGCAGCCCCGTCCAAATCAGGAGGTTCTGGGACCTGACAGAACTCAGCGCCGAGGAGTACTCCTGACCCCCACTC